AATCTGAATTCCATCCAAACCCCACATAAGGGTGGAAAAACTACACCCAATTGTCCTCTGACATGCATGCCATGACATAGGGTCTATCCCACTCCACCCCACCCATCATACACACAAAAGTAAAAAGTGAAATAAAAAACCATACTTCTGCTTAGATTTGATTATGTTTTTGGTAGCTTGCAGACCCCAACACATGCTAGCAAACTGAGAAATGTAGCCTTTCCTAGGAAATCGTACACCAAATTATCCTTAGGCTGTAGAGGAGAAAAAAAATTTTGTTCAATTGGTAGCAGTGGCCTTTAGTCTCAGCACTCAGGCAGCAGAGGTAGGCAGATCTCTGTGAATTTGAGGCCAGCCTGGTCTACAAAGCGAGTTCCAAGACAGAGAAACTCTGTCTCGAAAAACAACAACAAATATAAATTCAATAAAGCTAAGTAGAAAAATGTCAAGCATACTATGATTCAAATTACATTAACTATACATAATTAATTTTACGTAAGGAGAAGGGAACTGAAGACATGGCTCAACACTGGTCACTCTTTCTGGACCTGCTTTTAATTCCCAGGACCCATGACAGTTCACTATCATAATTCCAGTGTTAGTGGAAACGACACCCTCTTCTTGCCTCCTCAGACCTATACACACAATGAACAGACATACATGCAGGCAAATATCCATATACATAAAAAATAAATCTTTGAAAAAAAAAGGGAAAGAGTGGTATGATCTTCTTATATGGTGGATACAGGGATTTTCATTGTCTTCCTATTTCCTTCATCTTCCTAGTGGACTATAATTATTTTATACATTACATTCACAATCACAAAGTTTTAAACAGTTTTACTTTTATTATTTATTTGTTTATTTATTGAGAAAGGGTGTCGTTTAGCCCAGTCTGGCCTCAAGCTTCCAATATAGCCTTGGATGATCTTGAACTTCCCAAGAGCTTGGATCACAGGTGTGTGCCACCATGCCTGGTTTGTGCAGTGTAGGAGATGGAACTCGACTCCATACATGCTAGACAAGCTTTCTACCAACTAAGGTATATCTCTGGCTCTATAGTTCCAGCCCTATTGAGACCTGGTCTCAATAAATAATCATAGTTGACCTTGAACTTGTTTCCCCCTCAGCTACCAGAGCACCCAGAAGATACAATTTAAGAACCAAACCTGTAATCCCTTCTGCAGACTCAAAATCCCTCAATCAGTAAACTGAAAGGATTTCAGTTTCTTACAGACATATTGTAATCTCTCTCTAGAGTTCCAACCCCCCCCCCAATCAATTAATGGAAAGGGTTTTGGTTTTGTTTCTTACAAGTATGTGTCAAACTCATCTGGCAACAAAATCTGACCTTATAGACCAACAAGATGGCTCAAAGGGTAAAGGCGCCTGTCAACAGGCCTGATGATCTGAATTTTACTCTTAAACACCCATAAGGTGGGAGGAAAGAGACTGACTCAAGAGTTGTCCTGACTTCCACACATGCACCATGCTACCACAAATACATATGCACACCCACTATCTATCTCTAAAAACAATTAAAAAAATCTTGGCCTAGACTGCCTAAGACTACAAATATAATTAATAATCTAGTACACCAATTTGTTTCACTAAAGAAATTATGTGTTGGTGGGTGGTAGTGGTGCATACCTTTAATCCACGTACTTTGGAGGCAGAGGCAGAACTGTGAGTTCAAGGCCAGCCTGGTCCATAGAGCCAGTTCCAGGATAGCCAGGGCTACACAAGGAACCCCTCATATCACCATTTCACCCCACCCTGACTAAAAGGAAAGAAATAACATGTCTGACGAGATAGTGAGCGGGTAAAATGTTGGCATGTAGTGAAAGGAGAGAACAGATTCCCCTTGACAACTTCTACACACACACTGTGACATACCTCCCAATGAATAAATAGTGAGAAAAAGACCATGCCTGTTTGTAAGTGCTACCCTAAACCCCACAAGGTATGTGGTGTAAAAAGTATATTCACATACAAAAAAACCCCCCACACACCTAAATTCCGAGAAACGTCCTCTGGAGTAAAAATGTCAAAGGGATCTACAGACAGCCCTTAACAGCTAGGAAATTTACTGGAATATGAAGTCACCCAAGATTTACTAGGATTGAGTCCTGATTGAATATGAAGAATTGGAATCATCTCCCAAAGGAAAATACTATGAGTTTAGTACTAGTGCTAGGAAGAGGCAAATATTAAGTAGGAGATTAACACGAGAACTACTGGTCCCTAGAAGTCAGCTGTTTCAGAACTTAAAATGTATTAACGGGAGCCACTGAAGAGTTTTTTGATTTTTTAAAAATTTACTTATTTTATGTGCATTGGTGTTTTGACTTCGTGTATATCTGTGTGAGGGTGTCCAATCCTCTGGAACTGAAGTTACAGTTGTGAGCAGCCATGCAGGTGCTGGGTCCTCTGGAAGAGTAGTCATCGCTCATAACTACTGAGCCATTTCTCCAGTCCCTTTCCATTGCTTTTTTTTAAGATGAGGTCTCACTGTGTAGCTCTGGGCGTTCTGGAACTTACTAAGTAGACCACCCTGGCCTTAAACCCACAGAGATCCACCCACCTGTGCCTGGTCAGTGCTAGGACTAAAGATATATGTCACTATGCCCAGCTCACTACAGAATTTTTAAAGTGGGTGAAATCTAACTAAAGCAGAGAATTTGGAACTTTGAGCTGGTAATAGTTTGCAAAACAGAGGTGTAAAGGCCGTTCAGACGGTATTTTTAAAACGGGAGAGGGTAATTTCTATGAACTAATCATACAGTGCTAGGTGATTTATTTGCTTTACCATTTATTTATTTATTTGTCTTTTGAGACAAGGTTTCTCTGTGTAGCCTTGACTGTCTTAAACTTGCTCTGTACACCAGATTAGCCTTGAACTCACAGAGATCTGCCTGCCTCTGCCTCTCAAGTGCTGGGATTCTGGGATTAAAGGTAGGTGTGCACTACAATCGCCTGGTACCATTTTCGAACAATAAGGAAGGAAACTCAGGGGCTAATTTACATGCCCACATTAACACCAGTCATTACCCAATGACTCTTGCTTAGTCAAAGAACACAGTGCTCTAAGAGGAGAACCTTGACTTGTTCCCAGTGCCCACAGTGCAACTCACAACTGTCTGCAACTCCAGTTCCAGGGAATTTGATGCCCTTTTGTGGTATCCTCAGGTATAAGGCACACACACCCATGGTGCATGAAGACAAATACTCATACACACAAAAAATAAACACGCCCTTTAAAAAAATCTTGAATGAGGAGCTGAAAGTCTAGCCTCTTCTTACAGGTCCTCAGTAATAAATGAAGGTTTTGGGAATCTCACAGACACCCATAATAAAATGACCCAAGATACTTGTCTTTTCCTCAGGTATGTCTACTGCACTAAGAGAAGCATTTCTGGGGAGAGGGAAAGAAACCCAACACGGAAACCCATAATACACATTTAAGAGTATACCTCCCCTTGCCTTAAAATTTTTACAAATTGGGGCTGGAGATTTGGCTCAGAGGTTAAGAGCATTGCCTGCTCTTCCAAAGGTCCTGAGTTCAATTCCCAGCAACCACATGGTGGCTCACAACCATCTGTAATGAGGTCTGATGCCCTCTTCTGGCCTTCAGGCATACATGCAGACAGAATATTGTATACATAATAAATAAATATTTTTAAAATTTTTTTTACAAATTTATGTGTATGCATATATTTCTCTCTGCATGTTTCTGATTTTATGTATGTACAATGGAGCGCAGATGCCCAAGGAAACCAGAGGCCATCAGATTCCCTGGAGCTAGAAGTAGAGGCAATAGTAAGCCACCTGAGAGTTATTGGAAACCTACCTTGCTTGGGTCCTCTGCAAGGACAATACATGCTTTGACTGCTAAGCCATCTCTCCTGTCCCCCAAAATTTCACCATATGCATTTATTGTGTGCCACATCATATGTGTAGAAATTGGACAACAATGTGCGGAAGTCAGTTCTCTCCTTCCACCATGTGTATCCCAGGGAACAAACTCAGTTTGTCTAGCTAGGTAAGGGTTACTTACCCTCAATCCATCTTGCCTACCCTATCCGTAGCTTTTTTTTTTTAAAGAACAGTTATTAAGTACACTTCAAGAGAACAACAGTAGGTTGGACAGTAACTTGAGTACCTACTGCCTTTCTCTGCTTCTACTCACAGTAATCCACCACTCTATCAAATAAATCCGCACTCTTTACACTACCAACAAAGTCCTATGAGATCTCTCTTCTTTAAACAACTTACTAGATTTTCCTATAATAGCCCAACATTCCCTTAGTTTCTGTCCTTGAAAATTTGCATGCTATTCCCTCTGCCTGAAATACTGCTCCCTCACTCTTCCCTAGATAGTCTTTGTTCAAACGCCACCTGTTCAGAGACTTCTGTCACTTGTCACTATCTGAAATAATCTAATTTGTGTTCTTTCCCCACAACTAGAATACGAGGTCCCCAAAGAGAGAAACCGTGTCCATTTTTGCCCCTTCACTGTATCCCTAGGGATTAAGTAGAATGAAGCTATTAAACAAATAAACAATATATCAATTTCACAATTAGAGTACTGTTCGCTCACACACCCAGTCCCGGGTGGACAATGGTTCTCTCAAATCCCAACTAGAAATCTAAGAATCCCAGAGAAGGGAAAAATTCCTATGTGCACATGGAAAGGTGAAAAAGGGTTGAGTGTGGTAGCCTACACTTGGAGAAAGATGAATCTGGGGCCAGTTTGGGCTATGTAAGACCCTTTATCTAAAACTTAAAAGAAAGCCTTCCATGTCTTCATGAAATAACAACAGGGCATCCATCATGTGGCACGCGTACGTGGGACACAGCAACAAACAAGAAAGGTTATTCTCGAAGGGTTTACATCAGAGCAGATGAGAAAGACGAGGAACAAGCAGTAAGAACTACCTATAAGGTCAGTGCTGCGGAGCAAAGTCATCTGGGTGATGAGAGCCGAGAAGTGAGAACGGATGCCTAGGAGGGAACCTGAAAGCCACGGAGGCAGCCTCCAGGCTCGCCAAGACCTAAAATCACGGAAGGCGGGGACGTCCGTAGCAGGACGGGGCCGAGAATCTTCAGAGCAGGCCAGCATGGCTACAACGCCGCTGGAGAGGCAGATGGGAGGTGGACGGCAGCTCAGGTGAGCCCTCTGGGAAGCACAGCCAGCCATCGGGGGAACCGCGAAGCCCCATCACCCAGGGTGCAAGTGTTTGAGGTGCGGGTAAAAAAACGCCATCTCGGTGGAGGAGATCGCTCAGACTCTGCGAGAACACGGGACCCACCCCCAGCATCATATCATCAAAACACGAACATTATAGTAGAGCGGTAATGACTGGCAGTGAATTACACGGCTAGGGAGAGACTAAGTGTGCAAGAGGCCAGATTTTTCAACTCGAAAGCCAGAGCGCCCCAGGAAGGAGGAACCCCATATGACTGTACTAGGAGCACGAACGACTCAGCCAGGCAAGACTCCGAGGCCCAGGTCCACTGTGGTGGAGACCGAGGGCCCGCTCAGCCTCCTTCCAACCCAGGGATCGGACCCGCTCAGCCAAATCAGGCCTCGGCGCCCAACACCGTTCGCGCTGTGGGCCCCGGCGCGCCGAGAACGGACGCGCGGGTGCGACCAATCAGCGGACGCCTGAGGAGCGAAGGGCGGCGGCGCGGCCAACCAACGCGGCGCTGGAGGGGAAGGGGCGGGAGCTGCGGAAGCTCGCGTGAGGCCGAGCCTCAGGCTGCCCTCGCTTCCCGGAGCGGTCAGGCCCGGCCCTGAGGCGGCGTGCCGGGAGGCGCCGGCGCGCGGCCTCCAGGAGAGGCCCGGACCCACTTCCCAGAGCTCGTCCCCCGCCCTCAGCAGCGCCCCCGCGGCCACCCTGCTCACTCCGTGCCTCACCTCGTGCGGACACCGAGACCGAGACGGGAATCCCAAGCAAGAGCTGCACCCGACACTACCCACTCCTTGCCGCTGCTCCGCCTCACATTCAAACCCCGGCAAAATGGCGCGGCGGCAAAGGTGGCGGCCACAGCGCATGTGCGAGTGAGGCCGAGACACGGGGCGGGGCCAGGGATGCTTTGGGCCCACCCCGACTGGAAGGGCCAATCGTAACGCAGCTCTGGCCTGCAGTGACGTCGCAAGACACCGTGTCCTTTGACGCAGGCTGCTGGTTTGGATTTCTGAGCTCAGACCAAGGCGTGTTCTACAAGTGGCTCATAGTGGCTTTTAACTGTTGGATGGACTGTGCTCGTTCCCGTCAGAGAAGGGAGAGACCGTCCATCCTAAGACAAGCAGAAAAACCGAATGAGTAAGAATTTCAAGCTAAGGGATAGCTGCGCACTTAAGACATAAAAACCAGTCTGGGCTGCCTGACTGTAATCCTGTGTGAGGGAAGGCAGATACAGGAAGATCCCTGGGGCTAGTTGGCCAGCCAGCCTAGCTAATCGGTGAGCTCCTGTTTCCATAAGAGATCCTGACTCAAAAACTAAAGTAGGGAGGAACTGAGGCAGACACACCCACGCGCGCGCACACACACATATAACACACGATTTTAGACAGAAGCTGGAAATGATAGCACGTGCTTGTTATCATTTGGCACGTAAGAAGCAGAGGCAGGAGAATCACCATATATTTGAGCCCACCGTGGTCTAATAGTGAATTTGAGGCCAGTTAGAGCTAGGGATGAGATTCTTTCTCAAAATATTTTTTTTCAGGTGATGGCAGCTTGAAGATAACTGGGGTGAGCAGAGGAGGCCCCTGAACAAGAGAAAACATTACCTTTTTAAAAGTCAAGAGACAGCAGAGTGATGTCGGCCTGACAAGCAGTGGGCAGAATAGCTAGACTTCGGACTATTGAAATGTAATAAGAAAAGACTAGGGCCAAATATGGAGTGGGGGACACGGACTCAGCAGCCAACTCGGCTTCCTTTCTCTGTTCCTCCCAGCTCCAAGCTTACCCCACTTCACAGCATTGATATTGCTGCTACCACCTTGCCTGGATGCTCTTCTAGATCCAACAAAGCCTGGCAGCCTTTGCATTTGGTTGCAGAACAATGACAGCTCCCCACAGATGCTTTACCACTCTGAAACTGCCCACTCCACCTTAACTTGAACACAACAGCACATCATTTAGGCCTTACAAGACAGGCTGCTCAACCTTAAATGAATTTCAGGAAGCACTTATTTTTGTAATGGATATTAACTGAGACTACTTACCCTAAGAAAGCATTATTTATGTAAGGTTCCCATTAAACTGGGCATTTTTTGGTTTGGGTTTTGGTTTTTCTAGACAGGCTTTCTCTGTAGAATACTGGCTGTCCTGGAACTCACTCTGTAAACCAGGCTGATCTCAAACTCACAGAGATTCACCTGCCTTTGTCTCCCAAGCACTGGGATTAAAGGTGTGCACCACTACCACCCAGCTGGACGTTCTGTGTCTTATCTAGCAGGCTTGATTTCATTATTTCGTTCTGAGTTAAAATGTTTTTAAAGATTTGTTTATTTATGTAGGGGGAGGGGTACATGGGTGCTTGGTGCATGTGTGAAGGTCAGAGTACAAGTAGTGAGAGTTAGTTTTCTCCAACTTGTAGGCTACAGGGATTGAACTCAGGTCCTCAGTCTTGGCAGCAAGCACCTTTACCCTCAGAACCAGGCCTCATTATGCTCTCTGTCTGGCATTTATAGGTCACTGCAATTAATTATCACCCCAGCCCAAGAACGCTTATGAAAGTGATCAGGGCTTACTACTGTTGTTTATAATTGTGACCCCAATACCTAGCCCAACCTAGCTGTTCAATAAAGATGGGTTGAATATATTTTTTTAAAGATTTACTTCTTTTTATTTTTTGTGCACCATGCATACAGTGCCCGAGGAGGGCAGAAGTAGGCATTTGTTCCCCTGGACCTGGAGGTTAAGGATGGTTATGAACCACCATGTGGAAGCTAGGAACGGAACCTGGGTTCTCTGGAAGAGCAGTCAGTGCTTTTAACTGCGGAGCCCCCTCTCTGGCCCCGTGCGTTGGGTATTCACACAGAAATAGGTGAAATGCCATGTACAAACACAGCACATTTTCTGTTGTGGCATTAATACAGATGATCGCCACTGGAACTTGATGCCTCATTCCTGCTAGCAAGCCCTCTGCCACTGAGCTACACCACCAGCCCATAAACAATTATCTTAATCATACTAACCCACTTCTCCCAAACTATTTTCTTCTAGCCCTGGGAAGTAGAAAGTTAATTGAGTTGCTGTCTTTCATCTTTGAGGGCCTTTCCTAAGGCCTGGAGCTATAACTCAGTGATAGAGCATTGCCTGGCCTAAGCAAGGCCCTGGATTTTGTCAGAAATATAAGTTCAAGGTTCTGAAGTAAGAGACTGCCACGCCAGTTGAAATGTCTCAACAAGGCAGTAAGTATCTAGACCCGTGATTCTCAACCTTCCTTATGTTGTGACCCCCAAACATAAAATTATTTTTGTTACTACTTCATAACTGATTTTGCTACTGTCATAAATTGTAAGGTAAATATCTGTGTTTTTTGATGGTCTTAGGCAAACCCTGTGAGAGGGTCATTCAAGCCCCAGGTTGAGAACAGCTGCTCTAGGCTATGGATTCTAGAGTGTGTTAGCAAGGAGTAGCGGCCAGTAAGTATGCTATGTTTTCTTTATTTCTTTTTCTTTTTTTTTTGGGGGGTGGATTTCAAGACAGGGTTTCCCTGTGTAGTTTTGGTGACTGTCCTGGAACTAGCTCTTGTAGACCAGGCTGGCCTCAAACTCACAGAGATCCACCTGCCTCTGCCTCCCGTGTGCTGGGATCAAAAGCTCGCGCCACCATCACCCAGCAATATGATGTTTTCTAGCTCCATCCATTTGTCTGCAAATTTCAAGATGCATTTCCTACTGTACTCCATGGGAAGATCATCATTACTTTATCTGGATTCAGAAGGGCATGGGTATATCTGCTTGTGCTTGCAGAGAACAAGCCTTCTTTTGGCTCTATCACACATTTAAAGCCCAACTACGATGAAAGAGTGGCCATCACTAAAATCAAGAAGCATCCATTGGGGTTTTGTTTGTTTTAAATAGAGGCAGAGGACTAGAGAGAGAGAGCTTAGCAGTTAAGAGTTGTTGCTGCTTTTGAAGAAGATGAGTTCAGATCCCAGCACCACTCAGTGCCTGATAACTGACTGTAACTCTAGTTCCATGGGTCCAACGCCCTCTTCTGGTCTCCACAGGCACTGCACTCATGTGATACACAAATACATTCAGGCGAAACACCCATTAGCGTTGCATCAAATAAGAATAAATTTTTTAACAATAAAGAGGGGCCTTTAGTTCTTACTGAGTACAGTCAATGTGGCAGAAACACCCCACCATCCAGCTCAGGATGTGAGCTGGATAGAAAAAAATGATGTGATGTCTCTATTCTCTGCTTCTACTTAGGTTGGTTTTGGTTTTGATTTTGAGACAGTGACTCACTCTGTAGCCCGGACCGGTCTTAAACTAGCTTTAGGTCTCCGGTCTCAAGCTCCTAACTACTGGGATTGCAGGCCTAGGCCACCATGCCTGGCTTATTTTGGGCTTTTGAGGTCAGTTCTCATGATTGGCCTATGTAGACTGTCTGACCTTGAACACCTCATCTTCCTGCTCCATCTACCAAGTGCTGGGGCTACCAGAAGCATGAGTGCTGTGGGATAATGCTCTTGCACACTGTAAAGATTTGTCACTTCTGTTAGTTTAATAAAATGCTGATTGGCCAGTAGCTAGACAGGAAGTATAGATGGGGCAACCAGACTAAGAATTCTGGGAAGAGGAAAGGCAGAGTCAGTCACCAGCCAGATGCAGAGGAAGCAAGATAAGAATGCCTTAGTAAGAAAAGGTACCAAGTCATGTGGCTAAACATAGCTAAGGATTCTGGGTTAATAATAAGCCTGAGCTAATAGGTCAAACAGTTATAATTAATATAAGCCTCTGTGTGTTTATTTGGGAGTGAATGACTGTGTGACTGTAGGACAGAAACTCCCATTTCTAAGCTTGACTTTTCTGTTCCCTCATTTAAAAAATAAAAAATTGGGGCTTCTTACATGGCTCTGTGCTAATGGCACTTGCCACCAAGCCTGACAACCAGAGTCTAATCTCCAGGATCCACACGATCAAAGGATGGAACTTATTCTTGGAAGCTGTCCTGTCACCTCCACGTGTGCCATAGCATACTCATTGGCATGCACACACAAGGTATACATTTGCATGCACATAAAAAGTGTAATTAAAGATTTTTTTTTGATGCTGGGCATGGAACTGCAGGCCTTTAACAAGCATCAGGAGGCAGAGGCAAGGGGATCTCTGAGTTTCAGGTCAGCCTGGGATACACAGAGAAACCCTGTCTAGAAAACCCAGAACAACAATAGAAAACAAAAGCAAAAATTTTTTTTTTGAAATAAGTTTTTTTTTGTTTTGGGGTTTTTAAAATTATTACTATTATTATTATTTGGTTTTTTGAAACAGGGTTTCTCTGTAGCTTTGGAGCCTCTCCTGGACCTCACTCTGTAGACCAGGCTGACTTTGAACTCAGAGTGCTGGGATTAAAGGCACGTGCAACCACCACTGCCCAACCTTGAAGTAAGTTTATAGCTACTGCAGATGTAGTTCATTTGCTTGCCTAGCATACACTAACTCCTGAGTTTCATTCCCAATGCTCCATAAAACCAGGTCTGGGCTGTGTTCCTGTAGTTCCAGCATTTGAAAGACAGAGGTAGAGGAACTGCCATGAGTTCAAGGCCAGTCCGAGTTACACAACCAGCCAACCAAATAAATGGAGTAGCTGAGATTGCAAGTATGCACCACCAGGCTGAGTTATTCTTGTTTTTTGTAGTGTTAGAGATTAAACACAGGATTCAATGCATGTTAAACATGTACTCTACTGTTGAGCTACATATACTACCTCAGACCTACCCATATTTTTCACGAAACCTTTCCCAACACCATCATTGCCAAATCCTCGTTCTCACTGGTGGTGCTTCCTGAGACCAGCGCCCCCCTTGGAAGGCTTCATTCCGGCCCTGTTCTACCTTCTCCCTCCTCACAGGTAGTCTGTCTACAGGCCAAATAGGTTAGCTCATCCAGACAGTGGTCCTTTGAGGTCCTCCCGAAGTCACACGGATCTGTGGAGACAGACCTCTTGCTCAGCCACTTCTAGAGGGTGTGTGCTAGGAGGGACAGACACACACACACATTCGTAGAGGGTCTCACACACAGCTTTGCAGTACTGACTGAAGATTGAGGAAATGATGCCGGTCATGGGCCAGTCCTCCCACGCTGCCATGTGTCGGTGTGCAGCCTGGTGGAGCCTGAGAATTCTACCTTTGAAGCTGTTGTTGTTATAGTTCATTAATAAAGTGTTTGGCCAATACGCATGAAATCTTGGATTTGATCCCCACAGCTGCATAAAGTGCAGTGCACCCCTCATAATGACAGCATTATGAGTATGTGGGGGCAGGGAATCAGAAGTTCAAGATCTTCCTTTGCTACATAGCAAGTTCAAAGGCTAATTTGGGATATAAGAAATCCTTTCCCAAAAGGGGAGAGAGAGAGAGAGAAAAGATTGGGAACATAGTGTTCAGGGACCGCACCTGTCTTGCCTGACTCTGGGGCTCACCCCTCACCATCATACACTCAAAGGGGTCATCAGGATTATCATCGTCTCCCTTCAACATTCAAGGGCCATCATGGAAGAGAGGGCAGAAGGAACTAGAGCTAGGAAAGGGGGCGTGTTGAGACGGTGTGGCTGTCGCACTCTGGGACTCACAAAGGCTGTGCAAGAAGCCTGAGGATGATACACTGTGATGATCAGGCCACCCAAACAATGGACCCCAAGAAATTAGAATCCTCCAGGGGATCTCATGCTAGGAAAGGAGAAGGCATAAAGCCTGGGCAAGCCAGAGGGCACCCCACCACACACTTGACTACCCTGCCAGTGAGCAGACCCGAGACAGTGATGGGTCAGTGACTGGTGAGACCAAGCCTCAGCCAGGACTGCTGTTACGCAGACTTCTTGCCCTCTGCTTTCATTTTTATTAATGTGTGGGTGTGTGGAGCGCCAAGTGTGGAGACCAGAGGAACCTCTATGGAGTGGTCTCTGTCTCCACCTTTGTGTGGGCCCCAGGGGTCAGGCTCAGCTCACCAGCCATCTCCTCTGCCTGGAGCCAGGTCCCACCACCAACTGGGAATGACAAGTTTGTATCTGCCCTGGCAACAAACTCAACCCAGTCCAACCTATATGGCTTGGCAGAATTTAAAGTATGACATTAGGATCAGCTTTACTTTTTAAAACTTTATTGATTTTCCACCTGATCAAAGCATGGGGTATTTAACAGTATTATACATAATATTTTTACATAGAAAACTTTACATAGCATTTCATATTATATAATTCTGCTTTATTCTTTCAAAAATGTTTACATCCATTGGGCAAGGAATGCTTTTCATTAAATTATCAATATTAAATGCACTTAATCATTGTGTATAGATGAAATCAAAGTAGCTAGTAACTAACTTTTAGGCATTTTGAAAGAGGAAAAACATACATTTTGCACATAAAGAAATGTTTGATGCAAATATGCAAGATAAAATTTTTTAAAAAATTAGAACACTGAGAAAACTCACAAATTTGATGAGTGTCATTTTCTGAGAGCAAGGATTTTCAGATGGAGTCATTCTTTACGATGCTCAGCTTTGGTTTTTTGTTTTGTTTTGTTTTTTTAAGCTTCCCAAACCACAAAGCTGCTAGTAGACAACTCCAACTTCATGTGAGCTTTAGCTGTGTCTACCCTCCCACAAACAGTGAAACAGGGTTCAGGAGGATCCAGTGCCTACTGCCACCAGTATCCACTAGCACTGTAGCAACAAACACCTGAGTGGGGAGTCCACACCTGCATGTGCCAGCATGTTCTTTTAGAAGTAGAAAGACAACTAAATATATAGCCATAATCACAAAAGAACAACAACAAAACTTTTTTTTGAAGGTGGTGTCTTTATAGTTTTTCTCATTTTTTTTCACAAAAGTCACCTGTTGGAGGAAAGTGTTGTGTTTCCAGCTATCACTATACAGCTTTTCTAAAGTCTGCTTTAGTTTTACAGCATGAGGGAAGGTGTGCTTGACTCTAGGGCGCACACCAGACATCACATCCCCACTCTGTTTGTTGCTCAGATGCCAAAGCTGGTGATTTTCTTAACAGAACTGCTTGGAACTGCAGCTTGGGAACAGAAACTTCTTCAGAGACCAACACTTAAAGCATTCTGATAAAGAAATAAGGCCTTGGAAGATAAGCTGCTCCGCCCTTCCTCCTCTGCTGCAGCCAGGCAGCATCTGTCGGCTGTGAGGGTACACAGCTGTTCCCACTCTGCACTGATACCCAGTGGGCTGAAGCTACATTTGCCATGAGAAAGACTAGATTTGTTCATCACAAAGAATTTACCGAATGGCTTGTTTCTGGAGGTCAGGGACACCACTGTCCACTGACAAGGAAAGTTACCCTGAATGGTTTTACACTGCTTTTAAAAGATCTATTGCTGTACAATTCAAATGCATCATTCAGAAAAATCAATCTTTTTACACAACAAAATGATAAAGAAATTCAAGCCCAAAAAAGTCAGTAAGAAAACACACTGACACACTCCTCACCCTGTAAGGGGCAAAAATTACAGAGGAGGCAGGGAACACTGGGGGTGAAGGGCTGGTGTAGATGGGTGGAATGTCACATGACAGGGGAGGGGAGCCACCAGCCAGGGACACAGCTTAGGCAGGATGCACCCACTGAACATACATGCATGTTCCCTGATTACATGTGTGGTACAAATACTGCAGGGACCACTGAGAGCTGAGGTCATGCTGAGTGGCAACACCAGGGAGGACACCTCAGGTGCAGGTTTGCGGTGCAGTAAAAGATGTAACAGACTCGACACGTCAGTCACATGTGCTCACACTTGCACTTACACCAACATTCTCCCACAATCCCGTCCTGCGAGGTCATGGCCCTCTCAGCTGATGTGTAAGTAATGATCTCAACCTGCTACTTTTTTTTTCTTTGGTAGAGAAATTAAAATACTTTTTGGGAAATAAAAGCATAAACACAAGTTCTGCTGGCCAAACTGAGCATGTGGCGAGGCTGTCAAAAACAACAGAAAAAAACAGCAAAAGCACCAGGAATCCCTCTCTAGAAAGAAAAAAAGGGTCCAATTCCACAGACGCACTCCCAAGGGATGACTAACTTCTAAGGCACCAGAGTTGACATAATACAACCCCAATTTGTAGGACTTGATGCAGACAGAAGTCTGGATGTTTCCCCTGCATTTCACAACACAGCTTAGCACTCAGTGCTGCCCCAGGTGAACAGTGGGGGAGGGCAGACAAGGAATCGGGTGTTGTCTTTTTCACGGGCTCCAGATCGTTTAAGCTTCCTCTAGCTTTGCTGCTGTGGGTGTTGGGAGCGCTCAGAAT